CTTTAGACGTTGGCCTTAAAATGAAGCATTGTGCTCATTTGTGTGGTGGGAATAATCGATTTGCCACAGAACAACCTGTATTTCAGGGGTGAAGGCAACATGAAATTAATTAATGAAGAGTAAATAAGGATTTGTGGGAGTAAAGAAATTCCTGCCTCATTTCATTCAACATGTCAGACATAAAATTGAATCGATTTCAACTCACAGTGACTCTGTAGTGGCTCGTGATTCCGTGTGGGTCTGCTAATCACAAGGTCAGCAGTTGGACACCACTCGTCACTCTCCGGGAGAACGATGGGCCTTTCTGCTCCTGTGAAGAGCTAAAGTCTTGGAACTCACGGGGCAGTGCTACCCTGTTCTAGAGGGTTGCAATGAGTGGACATTGACTCGGTGCCAGTGTGTGAGTCAGAATTGTGTTATGTAGTTGCTCTTGCCCTTACGTCGGTTCCTACTCCTGGTGACCTTATGTCCAAGAGAATGAAATGTTGCCGTTGTCAGGATTGTTGGTGTGTTTGACTCCGTTGTTGTAGCGATTGTCTTAGTCCACTTTGCTAGCCAGTGTTCTTTCCTGATGACATGTTCTTCCTTATTGTAAGGAGCATTCTGGTTGAATTTCCCCTAAACTGGATAGTTAGTTCTTCTAATCCCTCAACAACGCCCTGACCTTGAGTATAGTCTGATGGCAGGAGACCTTGTAGCCTAGTGAATTATGTGTTGGGTCGCTAGCCACAAGATTATCAGTTGGAAACCACCAGCTGTTTCAGGGGAGAAAGATGAGGCTTTGTACTCTCATAGAGATTTAGAGCCACGGGGGCAGTTTCATACTGTCCTAGAGGGTTTTTCTAGTAGTTCATGGTATAGTCAATGTTCTTCTTCATCTATAGTATACCATCATTCAGATATAGATGCTTCTGATTGTGCCAGGGTTGTATTTAATTTAATTTTCTTTCTGTTCTCAGTATGTTTGTGATTTTTCGAATTCAATACATTTGCCCTTTTTTTAAGCAGATATTTACATTTATCCTTTTTTTAAGCAGATATTTATTAGTCAGGCATTATTTGCTAGCACACAATGTTTACTGGCTAAAAAGATGAAGAACACAGACCCAGTGAGAAAAGTTCACGTGTGAGAAGCTGTGTGTGTAGAAGTGGAACAAGACTGACAAACCAATTACCTTATGATTTGATGGATGCTCCCTTCCACTCAATAGAGCACACTATTTTACACAATAGAGCACACTATTTTACACAATAAAGCACACTATTTTACACTATTTGGGTGGGTGGGTGGTGTTCGTCTCCTACTTAATAATTTTTTATTGGCAATTGTGATATGCTAGTCATTATGCTAAATATTTCTTATGTATTCATCGCTACAGAAAAACCTATGGAAGGCTTGCTACATTATCTATTCAACAAATACATTTATGTAGAACTTCCTGGAATTTATGAATGAATAAACTTGACTAACTCCTACCTCTTCCTTCAGTTATCATGACTGTTTGGAAGTGGGAAAAGCATGGCATGGGGGGATGAAGAAGTCAATGGGTGATGACTATTTCATAGATGGTGATCATCAAGGCCTCTGTGATACGGTGATGTTTTAGCCAGGGACTAAAGAAAATGGGGAGCTAACCGGCTATCTGCAGGGAGAGTGTTCCAGGCAATTGAGTACATGTTTAGTGTGTTTGAGGGATAATCTAGAGGCCAGTGGTATTGAACAAGGTGGAGTGTTAGGAGATAAAATCAGATAAGTAATGTATGTATGGATTATGATAAGAATTTTACGAGCCCCCAATAAAATGATTTTTAAAAAAATCAGATAAGCAGAACTTGGTCAAGAAGAACCTCTAATATATTAGGCATCAGACATTTACATGAAACAAAGCAACAAAAGAAAAGAAAACAAAACAACAACAAAGAAACAAAAGCCTGTAAATAGTTCAAGTTCTATTTGCTGACCTTTAGGAGTGTTTCTGATTGAGTTTAAAGGGGTGCCACACCCTGGCCCCAGAGTCTATTTTTGGTATTCCCTGGGGACTTCGTTCTCTGTTCCACTTGCTGTTCTGTTGCACACCCTTAGGGTTTCGCCTAAGTGTGGCGGGGTCAGATCGAGCACAATTCCCACACTATGTCTTCAGTGTTGTCCCTGGTAACACTAGGGTCAGTGAGGGGCGTTGTGTCTCATAGTGGGGCCAGTTCTAGGGTCCTCTCTGTGCTTTGTCTGCTCTGAGTGGGAATATCGTTGTTGTTTTGTTTTCTTTTGTTGCTTGGTTTTGCTCTGTCTTGTTTTTTGTGCATATTATTATCTCTGCGGGTCTATCTAGATAAGATAGGCGGGATAAACAAACTGGAGGAGAAAACAACAGGACTGACGGTTCCGGGGGGACATGGGAGAGGAGAAGGCAGGGGAAAGGAAGGGAGTGTTAACAAACCCTGGGACAAGGGAACAACAAGTGATCTAAAATAGATGGCGAGGAGGGTGTAGGAGGCCTGGTAAGGCTTGATCAAGGCAATATAACCGAGAGGAATTACTGAAACCTAAATGAAGGCTGAGTATGATAGTGGGACAAAAGGAAAGTAAAAAGAAATAGAGGAAAGAACTGGGAGGCAAAGGGCATTTATAGAGGTTTAAATACGGGCATGTACTTATGTAAATATATTTATATATGACAATGGGGAAATAGATCTATGTACATATTTATAGATTTAGTTTTAAGGTAGCAGATGAACATTGGGCCTCTACTCAAATACTCCCTCAATGCAAGAATACTTTGTCTATTAAACTGGCATTCCATGATGCTCACTTTCCTGACATGATTGCTAAAGACAAAGCAGATGCATAAGCAAATGTGGTGAAGAAAGCTGATGGTGCCTGGCTATCAGAAGTTATAACATGTGGGGTCTTAAAGGCTTGAAGATAAACAAGCTGCCATCTCACTGAGAAGTAACAAAGCCCACATGGAAAAAGCACACCAGCCTGTGTGATCATGAGGTGTCAATAGGATCAGGTATCAGGCATCAAGGAAAAAAAAATCAAATAATTGTGAATGAGGGGGAATGTGGAGTGGGGACCCAGTGCCCATCTGTAGGCAACTGGACATCCCCTTTCACAAGAGTCAGAGGGAGGAGACAAGCCAGTCAGGGTGCAGTATAGCACTAATGAAACATACAACTTTCCTTTAGTTCTTTAATGTTTCCTTCCCCCACACCCCCACTATCATGATCCCAATTCTACCTTACAAATCTGGCTAGATCAGAGTATGTACATTGGTAGAGATAAGAGCTGGAAACACAGAATCCAGGACAGATAAACCCCTCAGGACTAACAATGAGAGTAGTGATACCAAGAGGGTAAGGGAAAGGTTGGGGAGAAAGGGGGAAACCGATAACAATGATCTACATATAAACTCCTCCCTGGGGGATGGACAACAGAGAAGTGGGTGAAGGGAGACCTCAGACAGTGTAAGACATGACAAAATAATAATAATTTGTAAATTATTGAGGTTTCAAGAGGGAGGGAAGGATAGTGGGAGAGGGAGGAGAAAAAATGAAGAGCTGATACCAAGGGCTTAAGTGGAAAAGAAAATGTTTTGAAAATGATGATGGCAGCAAATGTACAAATGAGCTTGACACAATGGATGGATGGATGGATTGTGATGAGCTGTACAAGCCCCTAATAAGATGATTAAAAAATCATTAGATTATTAATGTGTCAGTTTTACATTGTACATTATTACAATAGTCATATGACATTTATTGAATAATGACTTCCTACAACACTGTAGGAGAGGGCTTCAAAAGGCTTGTGAAAAAACACCATTACCTTTTGCTTTCATTTGTGCATTAATTTTTATGCACTGCCTTCATATGTTTTTGCTAACGAGAATGTAAAGTCAGCAGATGAGTCTTTCATTTTTAGGAAATTTATTATAAATCTAAAATATCCTATTTGTTTCTGACAACACCATTTTACATGTTAGAGGGGAAAACAGAGGTTAAGTAATATGATGGGTGAGAGGTCAGCCTGGGCGTGGAAGTCACCAGGTATTGTGTTCACATTCTTGGGCAATGCTGCTTCTCAGTTCGGTGCCTGGCATAAAGGGTGCATATCTTTTGAATTTCCTGAGTATTAGATTCCCCTACATACAAGCCAAGAAAGCTTTCTCTGAAGGACTTTGTTTAACCTTATTCACCATAGGGCCTAAGCATTCTGCTGTATGACTGCTGCTGTCACTGTTACTGACTTTTATAATCTGGAAAATCTGCTGTGTGTAGGTGGAGACCATAGGCGATGCATATTGCGTGGCTGGAGGGTTACACAAAGAAAGTGACACCCATGCCGTTCAGATAGCCCTGATGGCCCTGAAGATGATGGAGCTCTCTGATGAAGTCATGTCCCCCCATGGAGAACCCATTAAGGTAAGACACATGTTTTCCAAGAAATATTATTGACATCAATGCTTACTACTTACGTAGGGAATTTAGGATTATTAGTTACTTAGGGAACGAGTCAGAGTGTGATCGCAAAGAGAAACATCTTTTCTAACGAGTTTAAGCAGGAATGCATTTATTCTAGGGAATGGAAAGGCTCACCTTGAACTTGAGAGGGCTGAAGAAGTCAACTCTGGGCTAGGCTTTCAATGCAGAAAATGCTCTCAAAGAAACACCACACTTGCTGTCTTCTTCTGCGGCACTCTATTCCTGCAGCCACAACCAGGGGGCTATTGTTTTCAGAAAACTCTTGCCTGCACTGATGGCTTCAAACAAAGCACAACTAACATTGTACACGGTATCATTTGAATCCCCAAATTAATGCAAAACCTCTATCATGACATTCATAAAATGAGTGCCTTAAAAAACTGGGCTCTCTGTTAAGCACTCTATAGTTAAACCAATGACTTCTACGGAGGTACATTCATGTGGAAGAAAATACACGCAGTTATTGCTGACATCCTGCCTTCCCAAACTCCTACAAGTCCCCATGATTGACAGCATCTAAATGCATTTAGAGTGTTTAAGACAGTTGGGAACATGTGATTTTTAGTTTGCTAACTCCTGGATGGGAGCAGTTGGCACTGGGTAGATGCTGGTTACTGACCCACTCATGTTTCCCAAGCTGTATTCCATCTCAACATGTCTGCCTATGACCGCATTATTCCAGTCATGGAATAATGCCTCATTAAAGAGGAGAAAGTAAAATTAATGTGCTAGGTATTGGTTTAATAAGTAGAACATGTGAAGATTACCTTTACAGATTAGTCCCACTGGTAGTGGATCTACCATTTAATTGTCATACAAGGATCGTCAAGCAATGACCTCGAGGAATAGAGTTTGGAAGTAATAGAAAATTCCATTCTGTATGTAGTAAAGCATATAGAGAAGAAAGAAAAATTAAATGATGATATTTACAGGTTTATTCTTGCCTCCCTTTTAATTGAAAACATATACCTAAGCCTTCCCAACCTATTGTCTAGGTTATAGTTGCCCTAGTTATTTATTGCCATATAACACACCTCTTTAAACTGAAGTGATTTGAAACGACAAACATTTCATTATGCTATGGATTGTGTACATTAGTAACTCGAACAGGTCCTGGCAGAAACCTTTATTCTCTGCTCTAAAAAGTCTGAGAGCACTGTTGGGAAGCCTTAGTAGTTGAGGGTAACAGAAGAGTTGTGGTTGAGGCACTGCAAGGGATAAAGGATCCACCCTAAGATGAGCTCAGCACTATGTCTTGTCCTTCAGTGGCGATAACTGACAGGTTGTGTCAGCCAAGACTGGCACCCAAGTGCTTCCATGTGGCTGTTCCAAAGGTACCAACCCCAGAGAAGTCGGACCTCTTAAAGACGAAAGGTGAATGGAAGCAAGATGATCTTTTATGGCCTAGCCTTGAAAGACATG